AAGCAAAGACGAGTTTCCTTCAGTACTAAAATAGGTGTTGCCTTGAGGTGAAAACATTCTCAACACAAAAAGCGAAACGCGGGAAGACCTCAATGCTGAGTGACTGACTAATTGGCACTCTAGTGGCAAGACGGTCTCAATTGGCAGTAAGGTTAGTCTGACTCATTGCTTTTCAAAACTGTAGTAGTTGCTAATTTGCACTGTAACAATGATAAACAAAAGAAATAGTATTTTTTAATTCACTCCATACAAGTACTGTAGTGTGGTCTCTTTATTGTGGAAGTGCAACTTACAAATATAATTTTTTTGGTTACATAACTGAACTCAAAAACAACAATATAAAGGGCCTACAAGTCTACTCAGTCCTACTTCTTGTTCAGCCCTGCTAAGAGATACAAGTTTGTTTATATTTACAGGAGATAATGCTTCCCACTTCTTATTTACAATATCACCAGAAAGTGAGAACAGGCATTCGCATGGCACTTTTGTAGCTGGCATTGCTAGGTATTTACGTGCCAGATGCACTAAAGATTCATATGCCCCTTCATGCTTCGGCCACCATTCCAGAGGACATGCTTCTGTGGTGATGATGCTCGCTAAAATAATAATGTGTTAATTAAATTAGCGACTGAAGTCCTTGGGGAGAATTGTATGTCTCCTGCTCTGTTTTACCCACATTCTGTCATAAATTTCATGTTATAGCAGTCTCGGATGATGACATGTTGTTCGTTTTATGAACACTTTCACTGCAGATTTGACAAAATGCAAAGAGGGTACCAATGTGAGATACATAAAGATAGCTACACCACTTGACCCAAGATTTAAGGATCTGAGTGCCTTCGAAAACCTGAGAGGGTCAAGGTGTGGAGCATGTTTCCAAACGTCTTAAAAGACCAACACTCCCATGTGGAAACTACAGAACCTGAACCACCAAAAAAGAAAATCAATCTTCTGCTGGTGGCATCTTACTCAGATAATGAAAATGAACATGCGTCAGTCTGCACTGCTTTGTATCATTATCAAGCAGAACCGGTCATCAGCATGGACGCATGTCCTCTGGAATGGTGATGAAGCATGAAGGGACATATGAATCTTTAGCGCATCCGGCAAGTAAATATCTTGCGACGCCGGTTTCAACAGTGCCATGCGAATGCCAGTTCTCACTTTCAGGTGACACTGTAAACAAGAAGTGGGCAGCGTTCTCTCCTGCAAATGTAAAGAAACTTGTTTGTGTGAGCAATTGGCTGAACAAGAAGTTGGACTGAGTGGACTCGTAGGCTCTAAAGTTTTACACTGATCTGTTTTTGTACATAATTCTATGTTTGTAAGTTCAACTTTCATGATAAAGAGATTGCCCTACAATATTTCTATTAGGTGAATTGAAAATACTATTTCTTTTGGTTTTTACAGTGCAAATATTTATAATCAAAAATAAATATAAAGTGAGCACTGTACACTTTGTATTCTGTGTTGTAATTGAAAATAATATATTTGGAAATTTAGAAAACATCCCAAAATATTTAAATAAATGGTATTCTGTTGTTGTTTAAAATTGCGATTAATCGCGATTAATTTTTTTAATCGGTTGACAGCCCTAAAAAATACTTGTATCAACTAATATTGTTTTTATGATTCATAAAATGCCAATACCATTTCAATGGGAAGCTGCTGCAGTGCTGTTTGTGGGTTAAAATCTGCTTCCCTCACGTAACCAAAGACGGTATTCTCCATTTACTCCCTGAAGAAAGTGTGTTCAGGTCTCTCTTATAATGTGAAAGTGGGAGAATAGAGGAAACCAGCTCTACAGTGTGAACCCTGAAGTTTTTTTTCCTTCTCCCATTTTCCTCTTGAGGCTTGAATATAAGGTTCAAGAAAGGGTTTTTAAATTAAGATGCCACTCTCTATTAATCCTTTATAATTCTCCCCTTTGAGTTCACTCTCATCATCATTGGTATCTTTTAGTGTAATGCTGAATTACTTAAATAAAAATGTAGAGCAGCTGTGCATAGGAATTAGTTACAGGTAGATATGTCATTATGCCTCTTAAAGAATCAAGCCGTAGAATAGAATTCCAGTCCTAGTGGCTGTAACTGTGAATCAAAATCTGTGTCTCAGGGTTTGTCTGCACAGCAAAAGCTGTGCCTGGATTAGCCTACCCAAGCTAGTTTGAACCCAGCTAATGTAGGTAACAGTAGCATTGAAGACAGTAAAGCCTGGCTTCAGCACAGGTAGTACAATCCCAGCACAGACACACTGAATAAGCTCACTGACCTGCTCTGAAGCCTGTACTATAGAGGTTTTGCTGCTATTGTTAGCTTAAATCCAGCTGGCCTGCGTAACTCAGGTTGTAGCCTGTACTATGCACAGCTTTTGCTGTGTAGATATACCCTGAGTGTTGAAAGTGTAATGTTCTCAGTGTCATGACAAATGCTGAAACACATTCAGTCTTAATTAGGCAACAGGGAGTAGATACTTGAAGGTGAAAGGTGCAGTTGTATATTTGCTTGTTTATAGTATAGTTTTGAGTCTCTAAACATTAATCATCATTATTTTAAGTAAAGTCCATAAAATCCTTCCTGTTCATGAATATTTGTTGTGTTCCTGTTGCCATAAGTGTTCTTAATTTATGAAGTGAAACTTTCCATTTCCAAGCAATAGGGACAATAAGCTGTTATTCGAACCCCAAAAAATTACCAAAGGTTAATCCCCACAATACACATTAAATGGTCTTTAATAGCTATTCTGCTACATACAGATAGGAGTCGACAATTTCTCTGATATCTGTAAATTGGGAGTTCTGTCCATTGATCTAGAAAATTAAACCTACGTTTCTGAGGCACGTTTTTCTTTTGTTAAATGTCTGACGTTAGAACCAGATGCATAATCTCAGAGTGCTGGAAGGATTGAAGCCTGGGAATTTGAAGGATTTGTTTGGTAGGTCTGTTTATTTCTGATATCTATTCCATACATAGTTACTCAGTAAATCTCCTGGGATGTTGGAATTACAGTAAATTACAGGAGTATGGGACAGCCTAGGAAACAGAATTGTAGGAGGAAATGGAACTATTGCCGCTCTCCCTAGAATGACAATAATATTTTTTCTGTTATTACAACACTACATTAAATCTTTGTTACATCACAATTTGTATGTACTTGAGTTGTGGTGTTCTGACGTTCATACAGCAGTCATTAAAATCTTTTAGACCCATGAGAACAGTTGCTTTTTCTTTGCCCACTGTTATTTTCAAGATGTGTTTTATGGATTGAAAGCCTCTTTGCAGGTTAGTGGCCAGAGTTTACATCAGATTTTATCCAGAGAGCTTTAAATATCCAGGTGCCAGAATTGCAAGTTCCTGGTGTAGGAGGTTTTCTCTCTTAAAATGTCAACAGTAGGCTTCATAATCTCAGTGTTTGTGTTTCTTTCTGACAGTATTATTCACACAGATTGAATGGAGGCTCTTTGGTTGAGTGCAGATTCCTTCTTTGCACATTCCACTGCTACCCCAATTAACTTCAGTCTTACTATAGGAATTAGTCTTGATAGTGAGCATCCAATAGGAAGCAATCAAGTAACTTCAGTGGGCAGCTCCATTTTAAAAACAAAAAGACATCCTGAAGGGGGAAATCTTTAATCATTTGGAGGGTTCTGTGTTACTTCGAGGGTATGAGTAATAATACAAAAATGACAGCCAATTGATAGAGGTTACTGTAGTGATTATTTAAAGAAAAAACATTGATAGCCATTGTGGTCGTCAAGCAAAATGGGAGGAAAAGAGAGCAGGCATCTAGTCCCTAGTAACCTAAAATATAGGTTAATGTTAACTTACATTTTTGAATGAATTAATAATATCAAACAGTTCACCCTGAAAAGGTTTTAATAAGGTTTGTGTATATTCACTATATTTAAAATTGAACTATACATTGAAGTATGATAACCTTGTAACATTAGCCGCTTCTTAGAGAAGGCTCAACTGCTATAAGTAAATGTTAACAAATTAAATCTTGACATATAGCATGTGAAACTTCATGGCCCTTGTGCACTGGATAGTTAAGGTTAATTTCTTTTGGCTATTGTATTCTGATGTATACGTAAGATGTGTTGCGTGAGATTGTGCTATTTATATTTTTTTAATGTGTTTTAGTTTAATCTACTTTCTTATTCTGCTCTAGTCTCTGCTATATCCTTATTCTCCTACCTCTGATCAGAAAAACAATCCCCTGGGATGCTTGCTGTTTTATGACAAACAATAAATAAATCAGAACATATTGGCATGATCAAATGTTTGTCATCAGTCTGGATCATTAAAACAAAGGCCATGAAAAGTAGCGTAGGAGTAGGAGTCAGGAGTTCTAATCCTGGCTATAACAATAATACTGTCTCTGACCTTTAGGATAAAGTCATTCTCATTTAACCTCAGTGCCTTAGATTCCCCCATCTGGAAAGTGGGAATAATGCTTACCTTCTCAGATGTTGAATGTTAATATAAATAACAAATATTAAAAATAATATTGATTACATTTAAGTAAAGTAGAGCAAAATTACGGAAAACAAGTGGATGGGAAAGGGCTTAATAATTCACTCTTCTTGTCTTGAGCATTGTATTTAAATAGCATTAGCAATCAGATGTAACAATTTTATTTCAGTCTATTTCTTTGTCTTCTCAATCTTATTTAAAAATATAAAACAGTAAGGATGGTGCATGTTTCTGGTAGATCTTTTGTTTAAGAATTCCAGATAAATAACATCAGTGTTTTCAAAGTAAAATACTGAAACTGCCCGAAAGGTCTTTGCTGCTTATCTCCCATGAACTTTTTGTGATGAAAGCTATTTTAACGATTGTGGTCATAGAAATTACAAATGAAGAAGACTAATTAGATCATCCACTCCATTTCACAACTTTCTCTTTGTCAGATGAACACTTACATGATTTTTGTGGAGTCCTGTTATTTGGTAGCAGCTGCCTTTCAATTGTGTTTTTTATTTGTATTTTCAAATATAGCTGATCCTACTGACCTGAGCTTCATCATTTCTCCATGGTCTTTGCTGTTGCTTCCATCTGGGAGTGTGTCATTTACAGATGAAAATGTTTTCAACCAGGACCTGAGAGCATTCACAGCACCAGAGGTTCTGCAGAACCAGTCACTGTCATCCCTTTCAGATGTTGAAAAGGTACGTTACCTTCACTCCCATAAAATGTTAGTCTCTATGAAACTGTATTATAACTGGTTTCAGAGTAGCAGCCATGTTAGTCTGTATTCGCAAAAAGAAGAGGAGTACTTGTGGCACCTTAGAGACTAACAAATTTATTTGAGCATAAGCTTTCGTGAGCTACAGCTCACTTCATTAGATGCATTCATTAGATGGAAAATACAGTGGGGAGATTTATATACACAGAGAACATGAAACAATGGGTGTTACCATACATCCTGTAACGAAGTCCCCCTTCTCCTCCTCCCTGCCCCCCAAGATTAGGTGCTCACCTAAGTAAGGGTGAGCTTGAACATAAATCTAAATTGTATCTGCATCGTTAACTGACTAGTCTTCCAAATGGCTCCAAATTAGCCTTTTTCTTTTTTCTTCAGCTTTAAGGTTTTCTTCAGCAAAATACCCACTCAGCCTAGCAGAATATGGACAGGGCTGGGAATGAGGAGGGGATGGGGTTCTATTCCCACCCCTTTCATTTGACTGGTCTTCATAATCCTAAACTCTTCAACTCTTATTTAGGGGGATGTTGCAGGGTATAATAGTGTGGAAGTCACCCTGATGTGGCCGCTGTGGTCAGATATGACATTGTCTCAGTTTCCCCTGTGGGCTATCAGTCAATTCTGCGAGGCTTGTATATCATGAATGATGCCCCTTCAGGGTTCTAGAATGGCTCCTTCTCTGAACTCTGGGCCCCTTCAGATGGAAAACTACAGCAGCTTGTTTCTGGAGTGGTGTGTAATTCCCCAAAGACCTGGACTTCTTGCTGCTGTGTGTAAGGTCCCTTCACTGGGATTGGGCTTTCCTAGGGCTTTGCCATTCGTTGCCCTGCCCTTTCCTAGGTCCCCTTTGTTTCTGGTGCTCTCTGAACTGCTCCCCTGAGCAGTCTCTTTCCTTGGGAACTTCCTCTCTCTGTTCTGTGAGAGAGAGAACTTCCTCTCTGTGTTCTGTTCTGTTCTGTTCTGGTGAGCTCTCGGTGAACTCTCTGGGAACTTCCTCTTTCTGTTTTGAGGCTTCCTGACTGAGCCCTCGGAAGCCTTTATTAGACTGGGTGATGTTCACCTAATTAACTGCCGCCCAGCTACTTAGTCAGTTAGTCTCCAGGTGGATCACTTTCCTTAGTGGAGCCTGTCACAGGTAGACGGGGTGCTAAACCTCTCGGACCAGCGGCCTCCATGAGACAGGACTACAGCCAAAATAGCTGTGTGTTTGGAAGCTGTTATATGGCTTAGCAGGACTCCTCCTGGAGGAGCAGTTTGCGTGGCTTTGTTCTGAAGGAGATTGGTACTAGAACTATTGCTATGACATGGGCAAGGACTAGCTACATACACTTTGATATATTTTTTTCTGAAAACTTTTTAAATTGTCAGTTTTCTCTAGAACCGTATCAATTGAATATCCAGTCTAAAGGATGCCCTCCAAGAAATGTATTTTGGTCTGTATATGTTTCTTCAGTGGTTGAAAGCATTTGGCTTCAGGCCTCTTGCCTTGCGACACAGTCAAGGCTATCTATTGTAAGACAGGTATATATACCTTGTGGTAGATTAGTGTGTTAACTGTTCAGGGCCAAGAGACAGAAGTGCCTTACACAAGTAATGGTAGAACTGAAGTCAGTGGAAGTTTTGCCAGAATAGGGACTGCAGCATCTGGAACTCACAGATAAGAGGGATAATTCCAAACTTTGTGATAGTGGTACTGTGAAGCACCTTGTAGTTAGAAATCTTTACTAAAATTTATAACTTGAATGAGCGGGTGCAGTTGAAGTCAGTGGAGCTGTGCCACTTTGTACTAGCTCTGAATTTGGCTTAAGAACTCTCTTATCAAAAGCACCAGGGAAATAATCAGTAAATTCCTTAAGCAACTAAACTGTGTGTAGGTGAAATCTTTTACTTCAAAGATGGGTGCATTCTTAATTTAACACTACATTTACTTGATGGCAATTGTTTGTTTGTTTTCTTTTTAAAAATAGAAGAAGAACACTCTATGTTGCAAACCAGAGGCCCTGTGTTTCCTTGTTGCATAGAAAGAAGTTAAAACTGATGGGAACTGATGTGGCATGTTTCTCTTGCACTTGAACTCATTCATTGTTGATGACCAAATTATGGCCTTTGTCCCCACATGCCGCTGTGATTAATTCTCTCAGATTGTGGCTCTAGCTTATGAAAATATACATCTAGCTATTATATGACATCTGATAACATAATTTTCTGGAAAGTGGTGGTAGTACAGTTGTGACCCTTTACCTCTGCAAGCGCCTGAATTCATATTTTCTTGGGAAATTTTTGCATGTTGACATATATATGCCTTGGTTTGCATAAGGAGATTACTCATACAGTTGATTTAACTTGGTTTATATCCTTTTAGCTTGTGGTATTTGGTTTTAGTGTTGTGTTGAAGTTTTTTACTGGAGTTGAATACATCTAATTTTGGGTTGAATTCTAGCTAACTTTGCACATACACATGTGGCAGGAAAAAAACCCCAAAACCGAACCACCACTGTATCAAACTGAAACGATGCAACAGAATTTGAAGAAAATTGGGTTCCTCGGTTCTAGTTCCCCAGTCAACTTGAGAAGAGGCCATTCTGCTGGGCCTCCAACAAAAGAGTTGTGTATGAGTAGGGCCCTACAAAATTCATGGCCATGAAAAACGCATCACAGCCCTTGAGATCTGGTCTTTTGTGTGCATTTACCCTATACAGATTTCAAGGGGTAGACCAGCATTTCTCAAATTGGAGGTCTTGACCCAAAAGGAAGTTTCAGGGGAGTCACAAGGTTATTTTTAGGTGCGTTGCGGTATTGCCATCTTTACTTCTGCGCTGCCTTCAGAGCTGGGTGGCTGAAGAGCTGCGGGTGTTGGCCAGGCGCCCAGCTCTGAAGACAGCACCTTGCCAGCAGCAGCGCAGAAGTAAGGATGGCAATACCATACCATGCCACTCTTACTTCTGCCCTGCCTTCAGAGCTGGGCGGCCGGAGAGTGGCGGCTGCTGACTGAGGGCCCAGCTCTGCAGGCAGCACCGCAGAAGTAAGGGTGGCAATAACATACCAGGCCATCCTTAATTCTGCGCTGCTGCTAGCGGTGGCTCTGCCTTCAGAGCGGGGATCCCGGCCAGCAGCCGCCGCTGTCCAGCTGCTCAGCTCTGAAGGCAGCACCGCCCCCCCGCAGCAGCGCAAAAGTAAGGGTAGAAGTACCACAAACCCCCCCACACACACAATAACCTTGCAAAAAATATTTTTTTATTGCTCTGTAATAAAAGCTTTGCTGGGAAAAGGCATGAGACTCTCAGATGTTTTGGGAATACTGTTCAGTTTGTATATTAGCTAACCTAGAATTAATAAGGTTGTTGTGTAGTAGAGATTTAAAGAAAACTTGTTTTTGGGTCAGGACCCCTACAATCACAACACTGTGAAATTTCAGTTTTCCATCGGTAAAATAATGAAATTAATGATTTTTTAAATCCTATGGCCGTGAAATTGACCAAAATGGACCATGAATTTAGTAGGGCCCTATGTATGAGTTTAACAAGGTACAGCCATAACATTAGGAGCCTGACCCATATGTTTGTTTACCATAAATGTGTGTATATGAAACTTGCCTGGCCAAGACGTGGTTCATGCGGTTTCAGTTCAATTAATTCCTTCCTACTACATGGCAGATGTGCATGCATGGGGCTTTTTAACAGCTGTTAAAGGTGTATATTAACAGTACTTTTTCCCCTGGTTTTGTGGGGGGACTGTGCTATTTACATCATTTTTAGTGTCTGCCAGAATTAGGCCATATAATTTAACTTATCTGCAGCTTCTGGCACCAAAAGGTATCAGGAATATTGTCTTGCAGTTATGTTGTCTTATTTTAATTTAAAAGCAGCAGGTTGAATAGAGTGAATTTTTAAAGTGTGTCTAAAGTTTAGAGTGTAATAGGAGAAAAAGCATGTGATAACCTTGCATATATCACAGTGAGCAGATAGGCTCCAAGTACAAGTTTATTGTTTTAGGTTACTGAACTCTGAACTGTACAGAAATCATTCAAATGTAGCTTATTGTGTAGATTAAGGCTTTATGAGGCAGACATTTTTGAAGGAAAAGTCAGTCTGTGTTGGATAGCATTCCTTCAGAAATATTTCTGTTTCTATATGTGTATTGTCCTTCAGAGTTAAGTGAAATTTCTTTTGCTAATGGTGACCCTGCCTGCATCTTTGTCTGCATCTGCCCTTCATCCCCTGTATTTATTCCAAAATCCTTCTCGAATGTCTCTCTTTATCTCCTTCTCTCAATCCCAATTTTTTCCTTCTTTCACATTGCCTCAGACATTTCAACCAGCTAATATTTGTCAACTGTACAATGCAGCTCTAATCCTGACTCGGGCCTCTGGTTGCTGCTGTAATGCAAATCATAATATAGTGTAGATTTAGCTGAAGAAGAATGTTTCTTTGGGGTAATATTCTGATCCATTGCAAGGGATGGTTGACAAAGCAATCTAATGAAAAGGATATGGAGGCAAATTGCTGATTCTGGGGGGAAAATATGTCAATCAAAATCAAATACATTGCTCTTCTGGCATAAAATGGATAGAAGTCAAACCCTTCTGTAATGAAAGATAATTTGTCCCATTTCTAATAATCTGTGATAAATGTTGTTTAAGACACAGTAATATTGCCTCATGATTGGTGTGTACCATTTCTTTAAAATGTTTATGGTTACAATATCTTTCCTGTGCATCTTGCCCGTAACCCCAGTGTCATCTTCCCTTCCATCTGTATTAAGCTAAGTTTTGAGTGGTGTCATGGTTAGTTTCTGTGATTTATTTACTTTGCATTTCTTAAATGATGTTGTATACATGCTAATTTCATCTGGTTTTCAATTTTAAGCTTCAATCTTCATTCAGTGTATTTCACTGCAGTTTACCAAACTAGTTTGAGTGGAAATCTTTGGTTTATTTTCAGTTCTTGTTCTGAAATTGGTTCATGT